GGCAAAATTCAGGCTTTTGAGTCCTGCCTCCAGGTGACTGCAGTCACCTGGAGGTGACTGCAGTCACCTGGTGAGTATCATGATACTCACATCACATGGCTATCGTTCACACCTAATTAACACCTACTGTTAACAGGGGGTGGAGTGATACTGCCAATGGCAGCACTGTGGGGGGGGACAACAGGCCTCCACCTCTGTTTAATGATGGACGGTCTTTCTTCACAAAAATGGCTTCTTTTACTCCTCTCTCAAACCAACGTTCCTCCCTATCAAGAATAATTAAGGCAGATGGAAAATTATTATTGTCTGCCTGACCGAAAACATTTCCTCTGTTCCCAAACAACTGATTACAGATTTGTTCCCCCCCACCCCACAACTATGTGACCTTGAAGACTGTAGATCTAATTTCTCCGGGGTGTTTACGTCGACTTGTGGCTCCTCCCACACCTCTCCTCCCTCTCGCTTCGTCTAATCTGATCTGCTGAAGGTCAACAAGGAGCTGCACAGAATGAACAATTCAACACCAATATTCTGAACTACGGGTTTTTATTTTAGGAGGCTGGGTTCTTTGGACTCGTTCCCTCTAAACTCACTTACTCCTCTGGCTAATAAATGTGCTCTTGCTTGTTGAGTTTTTTTTCCATAAACACCATAGTGTATCATATTTCGTTGATTTAATATGATGTTTTCATTTCTGTACACATTTATTCCTTTCAGGGTCGTGGGGGTCACTTGTGTCCATATCCAGCAGTCACAGTATGAGGGGTGGGGTACACCCTGGACAGGTCTCAAGTCCATCACAGGACCACACATAGAGACAAAAAAGACTAACAACCATTCACTCTCTCACCAGTGTGCCGCCACGGTGGCTCAGTTGGTAGAGCTGATGCCACTCAGCAAGAAGGTTGTCGGATCAAATCATGGCTCGGGGACTTTTCTGGGTAGAGTTTGCATGTTCTCTGGGCATGCGTGGGTTCTCTCCGGGTACTCCGGCTTCCTCCCACAGACCAAAAACATGACTGTTAGGTTAATTGATAACTCTAAATAGTCCCTAGGTGTGAGAGAGTGAATGGTTGTTTGTCTCGTTTGTCTCTATGTGTGGCCCTGTGATGGACTTGCGACCTGTCCAGGGTGTACCCCGCCCCTCGCACTGTGACTGCTGGATATGTGCACCAGTGACCCTGAAAGGAATAAGTGTGTACAGAAAATGGATGGATGAATATGATGTTTTTTTCCCTCATCTACCCTTCTGTGGATTTTTTTCATTTTTCTTTTTAAAGGTAGCGCGACCCCTGCTGGTTGCCGCATGACCTGATCACATGTTCCCCCATGTTTTATCATGTGTGTCTTCTTGAAGGGGTGTTCTTTAATGTAATTTGATTGTGCTCTGTACAATGACAATAAAGGCATAATCAATCAATCAATCAATCAATCAATCAATCAATCAATCAATCAATCAATCAATCAATCAATCAAGGATGATGAACTAAAGTATCCCACAGCAGCTAAACAGCTGTTAGCACAGCATTAGGCTTTTTTTTCCCCAAACCATGGAAAACCTCCACCTCCCTGACTGTCACCAGGCTTCAGCCAGACCACCGTTTCTTTGTTTTCCAGCGACTTCAACTGGAGTTTACATTTATCTATTGTGGTTCTGCTCCTAAAGTTTTGTTCTGACCAATGTGGAGCAGCTGATGAGACTGGAGCTACGGTGCATCTGTGATGCACTCATGTCCAGAGAAAACTCAGATGTTTGAGTGTTAACCACACCGGATACAGATTACTGCATGACTGACTGTGCGCTCTACAAATGCTTCTAGTTTCAAATTTATTCAATGTTTTGGTGAATTTAAGGTTTGAGAACCAAAGATCCTTACAAAATAGTAATGATACTTTCTTTATTCTCAGGGGTGCTGAGTTCAAGTTAGAATTGCCACTGCCAAATACAGTCCAGTGTTTCCCTACCATTACCCCCCAACGAGACCACTCGCCTCTCCAAGAATTTTAGGACATGTATTCATTTTAATTTAAATAACGCAAGATCAACTCGAGAGCTACTTTTGCAGTCCCTCCTCTACATCTTGCCAAATTTGGGGGAGGTGGGGGGGGGGGGGGCATTGCAACGTTGTTAATGTCAGCTGGTTTAAATGCAATTTTTGTCCAGTGAGAAAGACAGGCACAAAATAAGGTTGTAAGCTCTGTATGTCTGTGTATTCCTCACAAATACAGTACCTATACCTTTTAGTACATATGTTAAATTGAAATCAACAGTCAAATGATCATTTTACATTTGATGTGTATAAAGACTGCAAAGGCTGAAAAATCTTGGTTTGTATGAAATTAGAGGTAACTTGAGGATTTAATTTTTTAGGCTTTTTAAGCTCAAAATGAGGGGGGTTCGTATTATACACAAGATCGTATTATACACAAAAAAATAAGGTAGTTTAACATACAAAGTTAAAATACATTAAAAAATCATTGATAGCATCTGCGTGAGTAAAGATGGAAGAAACTCACCTGTAGGTTCCGTACAGGACCGTCTGGCAGTCAACCAGAATAAACTTTTGTTCTAAACTTCCATGAAATTTCATCCCTGACCGACACTGATACTGTGGCCCACGAACTGTCCGAACACAAACGTTCTGTAGAAAAAAAGACACTCAGTCACAGACATCCATGAAAGAATACTACACAACACTAACAAGCTATACTACACAACACTAACAAGCTATACTACACCACTTTGTAGGGAGTTAGGAGAGAAACAGAAGGGAGATAACTGTTTCTGCCCTGCACTACACCAGGTCACTTTCTGACCAACATTTATTCACTTATTTATTTATTCATTCATTTATTTATTTGTGGGGGGGGGGGGTGTTGCCCAGAGAAGCCTACGGTCTCATGGTGCTTGCTCGAACAGTTCATTGCAGCTGCGGGTGCTGGTAGAACAGACTCACAAAATCCTCTGTGGCCACAAACCCGTTGACGGAGGCATCGCCCGCGTCAATAAAGGGGTCTTCTTCCAGACTTTGAGGGCCTCTTCGGGGCGAAATCCTCAAAAAGGCAGATGCCTGCTAGGTAGTGATGTCACAGTAGGGATGTCCCGATCAGATATCTGTGGCAGATATGGCCATTTTTTGAAAGTCGGGTAGAATCAGATTGTCGTGATTGGGCCGATCCAGTTTTCGGCATCGTCATGCTTTACAACTGCCGTTAAGAAGTCAACACACACAAGTACACAACCATGTCCACAGTGTGGGAACACTTTTCACTGGAAAACAATGATGCTGAAACTGCATCTTGCAAAATCTGCAAACTGGATGTTTCTGGTGGTGGGAACAGCAGGGCTCGCTTTAATACTACCAACCTTGTCGTTTGGAAAGAAATAAAGAAATAAAGCTATCGGATTGGTATCTGATCAGTACTGGAAAGACTAATCATTGAAAAAATCAGATTGTATCGGGAGCAAAACATCTGGATCGGGACATCCCTGTGTTCCACTCAACACTTCGAGTTTCAAGCAAATGATGCAGAAGTGTTGTGAGATAATGTTTTGAGCGCTGTTCAGCACGCTCATAATCATGTGACTCCTCCGAACGAGGCCTCGTTACGTCACTCCGGTGTTCAACTGTTTCAACTCAAGACTTTTGTAAAGGACCTGATTCATGTAAAGCTGTGTTTTTTAGAGGTGCTGCCACATGAAAGAGTCTTCAAACCTCCCCCTGTAACTGTACCAAAATCCAATGATTAATTAAAAACAATACAGATAATTACTAAACTTTATTTATATATCAAACCAATAATTATCAACAATAAGCTTCAGGTTTATATAAATAGGATCAGAGCTGCTTCACAGAGAAGCACCCATCTTCATCACATGCAGTATTTTATGATGGCACAGCCATATTTTATTATTGTTCTTAAAAGAAAACAGTAAAACTTTAAAGATGCATAGCATGTAGAAGCTTTAACATACAGAACTGAGGCTAATAGCTTGTCCTTTGTTTCATATAGCTGTAATATTAAAGCTTGACCAGCAGATAGAGCAACACTTAAATACACTCCTGATCAAAATCTTAAAACCAGTCAAAAAAGTGCAAGAATTTGCATTTTGCACTATTGGATCTTAAGAAGGTTCTAAGTAGAGCTTCACAATGTTAAAAGAAGAAATCAGTGCAAGAGACAAGAACTTTTGAGCAGGGAATTTTCTGAAAACTGCATTTACACTCAAACATGACTTTTTCAGCTGATCAAAAGTTTAAGACCATAGCTCAAAAAAAAAACCTGAAAACCCCCAAAACAGAAATCAAAGAGTCAAAAAAATGACTCAGTAATGAGCAGCTCCACCATTCTTGTTGATGACTTCAAACAATGGTTTAGGCTTGATGCCAGTGTTTCCAGGAGGCTAGTGGGAACGTTGCTCCAAGTGTTGAAGATGGCTTCACGAAGGCCATCCACTGTCTGGAACTGATGTCCATTTTTGTAAACTTCCCTTGCCATCCATCCCCAAATGTTCTCAGTTGGGTTTAGATCCGGGGAACATGCAGGATGGTCCAAAAGAGTGATGTTCTTCTCTTGGAAGAACTCCTTTGTCAGGCGGGCATTGTGAACTGCAGCATTGTCCTGTTGAAAAACCCAATCATTACCACACAGACGAGGACCCTCAGTCATGAGGGATGCCCGCTGCAACATCTCCACATAGCCAGCTGCTGTTTGACGCCCCTGCACAACCTGAAGCTCCATTGTTCCATTGAAGGAAAACGCACCCCAAATCATGATGGCGGCCCCACCACTGTGCCGTGTAGAAAACATCTCAGGTGGGATCTCCTTGTCATGCCAGTAACGTTGGAAGCCATCAGGACCACCAAGGTTAAATTTTTTCTCATCAGAGAAGACAACTTTCTTCCACCTTTCAATGTCCCATGTTTGGTGCACCCTTGCAAAGTCCAAACGGGCAGTTTTGTGGCGTTGAAGAAGACGTGGCCTTTGAAGABGTTTTTTGTTTCTGAAGCCCTTCTCTCACAGATGGTCTGATGGTTACTGGGCTGCAGTCAGCACCAGTAATGGCCTTAATTTGGGTAGAGGATCGTCCCGTGTCTTGACAGACAGCCAATCGGATCCTGTGGCTCAGAGCTGGTGAAATTTTTTTGGGTCTACCACTTGACTTTTTTGTTCCATAACCCTCAGGATCATTTAAAAAATGCAAAATGACTGTCTTACTGCGTCCAACTTCAGCAGCGATGGCACGTTGTGAGAGGCCTTGCTTATGCAGCTCAACAATCCTACCACGTTCAAAGTCAGTGAGCTTTTTTACTTTTGCCATCAGGAGGTCTTGACAGTGTAAAGACTTGACAGAAAATGACATGAATCCAGATTTTTGCACAGCTTTTGGCTTTTAAAGACTATGGTCTTAAACTTTTGATCAGCTGAAAAAAATCATGTTTGAGTGTAAATGCAGTTTTCAGAAAATTCCTGCTCAAAAGTTCTTGTCTCTTGCACTGATTTCTTCTTTTAACATTGTGAAGCTCTACTTAGAACCTTCTTAAGATCCAATAATGTAAAATGCAAATTCTTGCACTTTTTTCACTGGTCTTAAGGTTTAGATCAGGAGTGGTAGATAAAAAATTTGAACTGAGTCATTTCAGCACAATTGCTTCATAGTGATTCAGAAAGCCTTGGTTTATCCATCAGCTAGGTCCTCGTTTGGTCTGATCATCCTGACAACATTTCAGGTGACGTTGGACCCAGAATGCAGGCAGGCTCAGAGAGTAACCATGAAATTTATTAAATGTAAGAGCCGACGTGGCTGCAAAAATACAACTAACAGGCACTCACGAAGGGAAACCAGACTGAGGAATAAAATGAGAATATAAAACAGGACGAACACCAGAGGGAGACCGAGTTCAAGATACAAGACAACAGATCCTCACATTATACTTAACCACAATCTAATACGTATATTTAATAAATTTCTTTCCAAGTTCTGATATAAGTGCACTTGTTTTTTTAAGTATGTGCACTATGTCCACATTTTTCTGTTTTTTTATTTCCATTGCTACTAGTCACACGAACAAAAGGATGTAAACAACTGTTCAGATAGTTCTCATGACTGAACATGTGTCTGAGGTTTTACGATGTTGATATTTCAGGCTGCTGTCTGTTCCTTTTCCCACAGATCACACAGTGTGTGTGTCCTCCTCAGTCGTTGGTTGTACCGCACAAACATCAGCTGTTTAACAGGAAAAACCAGACACTTCAGGTGTCTTTCTGTGATAACAACTGGTAGAAAGGCAGCAGGGAAGAAGTGGAAAATAAAATGCTTAAATGTTTCGATGAGGGTGTGGAGGAAATGTTAACCTTCATCCAATAGAAAGGGACACGCCACAGGCAAAACTTCCTGTGAGACAGGAAAAAATGCAGAGTTCTCCATTTCTTTTAAAGGCCAGAGGGTTGCTGTATATTCAGTTTAGCATCTCTTACAAGATGAATGTAGCCTGTAACTGTGCACGATTAATTAGATCAGTGCTGTCAAACTCATTTTCACCGAGGGCCACAGAGAGTTATGGTGGCCCTGAAGGGCCAGTTATAATGAACTTTGATGTTTCATGTTTAACTTTGACTAAACAGAGTTTTAACACGTCCTCTTTCAAACACTGATAAGAACTAAGTGTATGACTGACTAAATCTGTTATAAATACAGAAATATTATTAAAAGTAAAACAAATAAATTTTAGTGAGTAGCTGCATTATGTCAGATTTACTTTATGTTTGACTTTAAAGCAGCTTATTTTCAGACATTAGTACTGTGCTATACAAATAAACTGCTCAGTTACTTCAAGCCAACAGCTCAGGGAATTTTCCTGTCCCTGAGCAAATCCATGTTAGCAAAATATATATATATATATACATTTTCCAAGTGATGAGTACAAACATTGAGTTTTTGTTTTTTAAAAAGTTGGGAGTTTCCTACCCAAGTTGCTTGCTTCATTGTGTTCATTAGGAGGGTTTTTTGGGCTGATTTCATGAAGTTCTTAGATTCCTACAGTAAAGGCAAATGTTTTTTTGTGGCCTTTTTTTACACATCATTTCAAAAAATGTATACATTGTTATTTTGTTCAACTAATTAAACCATAGAATGGTCTGAAAACATAGTGTCAACCAAACATGTTGTTTCACCTTTGTGTCATGCAGGTTAACACCCAGCTTGTGAGCCATGTGGAGGAAGCTGTTGACATGGGACTCATCCAGCAGGATGTAGACAGCCACTCCTCTCTGTGCCGCACACATGATCCCCAGAAAAAGGTCCACATCGGTGAAGACATCCATTGCTATGGCAATAACCTACGACAAATATTACACATGTGAACATAAACCCACAGCGCACAATGCTCATTTAACCACCCACTTCGGATGTTATCATCCATGAAATGGACGTTATTAGTTGTTATCAGTCCCATAGAATGGCTTCTGATTGTCAGCTGGTTAACATGAGGCATAAAAAATGGTTAATATGAGAAATAAAAAATGGTTAATATGAGGCATAAATCCACTAAGGTTAACTTTAAAGCAGATGACATGGTTAGCGCCAAAGACCCGCCCTCCAACAGTTGTATATTGTGGCCGTCCAACAGGGCAATGGGTAGAGTCTCAGACCAGAGAGCAGGAGACCAGGGGTCGACATGGGCACAAATAATTTGTTACAATATCTTTTGGTTATTTACACATTCATTGTCGTTGATATATTAACCCACTAGGGGGCACTGTCGGGACAGCCTGAAGCCTAGAAGGCACAGTAGGGACCCTCTGAAACCATTGAATGGGACTGATAACACCTAATAACGTCCATTTCATGGACTGATAACATCAGAATCCCCTGATTTAACTACAAACATGGGAAAAATACTAAACTTATATAGCGCTTTATCAAGCCCCATAGGGACCCCAAAGAGCTACACTACAGTCATCCCCCCCCCCACACACACACACATGTTTGTTTCTCGACCCCGTGG